CAGATGCCCCATGACCTGCCAGTCATGCTGGTGCGACCATAATTACAGGTATCTTAACCCAATCGTTAGGAACAGTTACTGTAATACGAATATTATATAGGTGATTATCCAAATTTCGCCATCCATAGGTTTTGAACTTACAACCTACCACTTGGAGGGTTGACAACTTATCCACTTCACTAAGTCGCCACACCCTTTTTATTATAGAACTTTTATAGAGTTAATGTAATAATAAATATGTTGAATATGTTGACTTTGACAATGAAAGTGCTGAATTTGAAGCATTTTGTGAACAATTTTTTCAAGACATTCAAGATTCTAAATATATAAGTAATTATGTTAAAAATGAAAGAAGGATTGTGAATGAGCTTTAGCTACTCAAATACATCAAATTGTATAGCATTCAATATCTCACTTTTTTAATTTTCTAATAGCATATTTTGAAATTGAGACAATGAACATTCATACTCTTAATATAATTCTTTTTTATTTAGCTGCCAAACTTGAATGTGTTGCAATTTATACATATGGCTCTGTATGTAACAGTGCAGATGAAAATCGTAGATATATTAAAAGCTTTAATTGGTTTGTAACAATTTGAAAAGTAAATGACAAAGTAAAAGTTCAATTGTCAAACAAACTAAAAGAAAAAAGCTATTAGCTAGCTAGGATAATTTCTTTTAACTCAGAACATACAAAATTTTTAGTTCAGCTTTCAGGTAATACACAAACTTATAATGTTTCATGCTTAGCTCTTCAACCTCCAATGTTAGCAAAAACTACTTGAAAAATTAATAATCGATGTAAAGTTAAAAATACAAATGATAATGAGTAGTATTCTGGTAAAGTACTTACTAACTTAGCAGACAATTATTTGGATGTTGAAGTTATGATTAAAACTACTAAAAAAGTTGAATTTTATATATGGAAATCACTACTTCACAATATTCATCCTGCATATGATAAAAGTAAGCATTGGGCATCACATCTTATCATTAATCCTGTAACTAGCAAACCATGGTTTTTTTTAAATAATTTAATACATGTTTTCAAGAAGTTAAGAAATAATGTTTCTAAAAGTCACACTGATAGTAATGAAGACAAAAGTGTAAGAGAAATAATGATTAATAGATAGGAAATTAGCTAGCAACACTTTCAAAGAGTATATTATCATACAATAGAACATATAATGGCAAAGGCTACTAAATTGACTAAGCAACATATATGGCTTACTTCTTGGAGTAAAATGAGAGTAGACTTTGCAGAGTATACATTATCATTTGATGTTAAAAAAGCAATAACAAACATATTAGAGTTAAGCTACATTTCCTAAAGCACTCAAGTATGTAATCAAAAATTTTTATTTAAACTAGAATTTTTTTTTAATTCAATAAATATTTATATTTTGGTTCAAAATGACCCAATTTTTTAATTAATTTGAAAAATTTAACACGTTGCATTTTTATTAGTTATTTATTCACTATGCATGTATGTTTCGAGACATTACACATAGCCAAATAAGTATTTCTTAATTTAATGATTCACATTTAAACATTTTGAAAGAAATAAAACAATAGTTCATTCAAGATGATAAACAAAAAAAAGACTCAAGTCAATGGTTTTTTGCACAATGCCAATTCAATTTAATTTTATCTATTAATAAATTTCTTGAAATCATAGAGTATGTTCTTAATAATTACCCAGATGCTGTAATTCAACTAAGAAGAGTCTCTCAGGATATGCTTGAAAGCTTATTTGAAACAATTAGAGAAATGGGCAGTGACTCTTCTATACAAATGCTTTAATTCTATAGTTATGCAATAAACAAATTAACAATTATAATGCAAATAACATTTGAAATAAAAAGTCTGAATTATGATTTAGCTGACAATTCAGATTGTATGCTTGTTGATTTGAAACATAGATAATTTGAGTGCTGCCAAGAGAAAACCTGTTGTAGAAGTTTTAATTATATTTTGTATACAGTTAGCCATTTATGAAAAATTTATTATTTTGATAAATTTTCACATAGATAGCTAACTGTATACAAAATATAATTGAAACTTTTATAACAGGCTTTTCTTTAGTAGCATCCATTTTGTTAACTAATTTATTAATGATTTATTTATTTGATTGATTCATTTATCTTTTTTTTTTAGTAATTACCAGAAAAGTTTATGATCAAATGTGTAAAATGTAAAAACATATGATCATTATAAAGTTTAGGTTGAACCATTTTCTGATTTTAGCTGTCAAATATTTTAAGAAATTCTTAATGATGATTTGATAATGAAACAAATTCAACTGCTATTAACTTCTAATAATGAATATATTAAAACAGAAAATATAACAATTAATGGCTTGCAATTTGAAAAAGCATAACTAATTGAATATTTGTTATATCAGGTTAATGTGAAAGATCTTTTAATGACTTGGTCAAAAAATATATATTAGATGATGTTAGATTCTGTTTTATTAAAAAAAAATATCCAATGGCTTATAACATGGTTAACAAATCTGAAAAGTCAATTAAATAATTACAAATATGCTGGTAATTGGTTTAAAGACTTCTAATTGTTGGTTTCAAACAATATTAATGTAGAAACCTAGCAGTTAGTAGCTTATATTTTACTCAAAAAGACTATAAGAAACATATTTAAACAAATACACAATATATATCATAATCAGCTCTTTTCAAATTATGCAGAATTATGAATTATATCAAAAAAAATATTGACTTAGAAGCAGCTAAAGCATCGAAATTTCAATATATTATTAGATGAACTATCTATAAACTAACAAAAAGTAATAAATTAACATTAGCACATAATGAATTTGCAAAGATCAAGTCATATTTGAATGTTCTTAGTTTTGAACAGATGAAATATATATATGAAACTTGTTAAAAGACAATAACAGTTATTCCAGAGACTAAGTTCATTCAATTCATATATTATTTAGAGTTACTTATCCTTCAACTCTTTGAAAAACATATTGAATATGAGCCAAATATTCTAACTTATATTGATAAGAATCTTATAAGCAAACAACTTTTAAAGAAGCAATTTAATAGCCTTTTGCAAATAGCATATGAAAAACAAGAATCATTTTTAGAATTCACACTTAATTATATAGAATTATCAAAAGAAACAGAAGATTATTTGTTAATGTGTTTGATCAAAATTTATATAAAAAGCCAACAATAATTCTGGTGAGAATTTAAAGGATACATTTCAGAAAAAGGTTCATTTAGTTTGCAAGAAAATGTTAAGACAATGAATACAGATTTAAAAAATAATGTAAAAAAAGATAAAACTCCTAAAATAAAAGCTATAACATTTAAGAAACGAATGCTACCAAAAGATCATCATTTGGCACTTGGTTAACTTAGGATTTGGGCTCAAGTCAATAAAGCTAAAAGTGCATTTAAAAAGGTGTTCACATTATCTGACCTCAAGATTTTTGTTTAGGCATTTCAAAATGAATCAGTTGATATAAAAAAAAAAAAATTCAGTCTTTGTAGATCTACTGTTTAATTATTTACAAAACAGTTCAGAATTTAATAAAAAAACAATAAAGAAAGGTTAACTTTTTGATTGAAACAAAAGTTATTCATTATTAGTATGTAAAATTGACTCTGCATATATTATTAGAGTATAATTATATATAATGAAATTAATTTTATTTAATTTATATTTAGGTGAAATAATTACAAAATATTTTTAGATCCCATTTGATTTGAATCTGCTAAAAACAGTTATTTGGCAATGTAATTTTGAAGCTTACTATGACAAAGATTGCTATGATGAAGACATAGTCAAAACAAAAAAAAAAGAAATTTAAATAATTTTTTTTTTTTTATTTATAAGAGAGGTCTTTCCTTTTTTTTTTTTTTTTTTTTTTTTTTTTGGAGTTAAGGTGAGGTCATGCCTCAGGTCTGTTTATTCAAACATATTGT